CATGGAAATGAGATGTGCCAATGCTAATACAATTGCATACCAAATACCATTGACTTAATTTCATAAGTAGTTCTCTTTAAACAAACCTAAACACAAACTAATACATGTAAACTAAGCAAAATTTCAAATTCAATAAACCATAACTGAGGAGGCGGGGTCAAATAATCTCCATTGTAATGAGATGTACTAATGCTAATACAACTGCATACCAAATATCATTGACCTACTACTAGTGGTTCCCCATAAACCGACCTAATCACAAACTAATACATGAAAACTTAAGCAAAAGTTTCAAAGTCAATATATATAGACCATGACTGAGGGGGCGGGGCCAAATAATTGCCATGGAAATGAGATATGCCAATGCTTATACAACTGCATACCAATTATCATTAACTTACCACTAGTGGTTCCCCATAAACTGACCTAATCACAAACTAATACATGAAAACTAAGCAAAAATTTCAAAGTCAATAAACCATAACTGAGGGGGCGGCGCCAAATAATCTCCATGGTAATGAGATGTGCCAATACTAATACAACTGCATACCAAATATCTTTAACTTACCACTAGTGGTTCACCATAAACTAGACCTACCACAAACTAATACATTGTTGACGTAGCCGCTGCCAACGCCGGAAACAGCATACCTATGTCTCGCTTTTGGACTCTGTCAAGCGAACCAATAATGTACATGAAACAGCACCCTTCTAGTCCTTAGTGGCATATTATAGTGCATTAAGGAGTCCTTAGCGGTGTTTAGACGTATCGCTTGTTTTGCAGCACACTGAGCTAATTTTCCGGCGGCATGTTTTTCAAGAGCGTGGAAGATCATTTAATTGTGAGGGAGGGGGTTCAATCTGATTTTTTGGTGGTACCACGCAAGCATCAAATAAAGGCAAAGACTCCTACTCAGAATTTGTTTCAATTCTCCCTGATCAAAATATTTTTCTTTCAATGTTGGGAATCAGAAATTGATAATATTTTTAAGAAACAAGTTCGGTGACACCATTCTTTCTTCTTATTTTCTTAAGCATATTATAAAACCTTTCTTCTCATATTTTATTTTAAATTCTATCTAATAGATTTCTATTTATTCACAAAATTGTTTTTTCATGAACAATCTATGCAAATTTGTGCAATTTTGCACGACTTGTAGCTTGTAAAATAGTTATAATTACCCATACTATTTATTATATTTCTAAAAAAAGCATAGTACAATCTCCATTAAGGCAAAGTATAAGAAAAATTCTATGTGAGGAAATATATACCGCTAATCCACCTTAAATAACTTTCAAGAGAATTTACAGAATAAGCATTATTTTTTAAGATAAAGAAAAATGCCCTAAAAATTTATAGTATACAGAAATTAAGGACGCCCATCCAGATCCTAATATATATGGCAAGCCGTTGAGGAATTTATTCCCTTTTTTAATATTGATTTATATTAGAAAATCAGTTTTAATATTAAAAAATTATATGATTTTCTAATATTCTAATCAAAATTCCCTAATGACAGCAGTGCTTATTATCAATTATAAGAACTTAATTTGCAGAATAATTAGTGCAATACAACATCATATTTTTCAACCGCTCGCTCATCATGGGAAGGAAGTGATGATGCCCCTAAACGCACAAATGAGGTTCTCTAAAACCAAAGATTTTGATGGAAATGCAACAAACTGGAAAGTGGTTTATTAATGTGATTTCACGGTCTTGCCAATCTCTTTGTATATATGTCTCTTGTAGAACTAAGTGTTCTGGTAATTTTTGCTGCTTCTCATTATCTATTATATTCAGCATTCAAAAAATGAAAACACTAATTTTCATGCGTCAGAAGTTCTTTTCTAGAATAATCTTTTTAAAGAACGCTCAATGCTAAATATTTGAAAGCCAAAGCTGTATAAGAATCAAAACAGATGAGCTATATCACCAAAATGGACCTAAAAATAAAAGCCAAATCCTTCTAAGGTCATCTTTGTTTAAGGGAGTTGAAACCTAATAGTTTCTTAATAATTTTATAATTTATAAACAGACAATTTAAGAAAGGTTTGTTATAAATCATGTCAATACCCAAGTATTGATTACTGATACCCTTGGGGGCTGGTAGTCCACATGCAGTGGTATCAACCCAGAATAATAAAGAAAAAAATTCAAACTGGATTGTCCAATTTTCTGAAAATTACGTAGAGATTAATCTGAACTGTTGATCATTTTACTCTTGCTAACTGCTTTAATTATTGAAAGTCAAGCCAAAAAGTGCATTTCACCCTAGGCCTATGTTCTTTTTTAAGCATCAGTGGCCAAGTCTTTCTAAACTAGATACTCTAAGAAGCATTCAGATAAAGTCTGGTCAATTTGGCCTCGTAGTTTCACAGGAGATTTTTTTAAAGGTTAGGATGAAGGATGCTAAGTGTTGGTATTAAAGCTACTTTTCAGCATTTTTTGTGTATTTTGTATGAAAATGAATGTTGTTTTTTTTGTTCAACTGATACACAATACACAATCAATAGGCAATACACAATCTGTTCCTTGAACTTCTTTTTCATATTAACATGTGACACAAGTCACACAACATACATGTACACACACTGGCCTCTAAAAACACTGCAAAGGATCTCATTTGTGTAGAGAGCACATAATTAAAAGTAAAGAAATTGAAAGTTTCACAAAAGTGAATAAAAAAACCACAAAGGACCTAAACGTGTTTTTATCCCATATGTATGCAGTGTGCGTCTTTCGAAATATTAACTTGAATCCATTTAAACAATTTCTACAAGTTCATAAGTTGTGGCTATCCCTTTGTCTCGTTGATCAGAAATAAATTAGTCATAAACTAAACTTAACCGAGTGACTGAAAAAATAAAATCATGTGAAATACCCCTAATTTCAGAAACCTCTTTCCTGATACTGGCATATTTGCCGTCCAGATTCAAGCTAGATTTAAGTGATAAGATCTAATAATTGAGCATGCAGATACATGCACCTGATTGCAGAAAAAAAACAGTAAATGAAATGCCAAAATTAAAAATGAATGGGACCAGTATTTTGTGTTTCATAAATTGTGTGTTAAAATCAAAAAAGCTTTTGTCAAACATTACTTCATTATCATCTGGAAATAAGAAAGTTAAATGTTTAAGGTAACTAAGGAGCATAACTCTTGAACAGTTATTCTCAAAACCATCAAAATGGACCTTGAACAGTTTTTCGATGATCCATAATATTATGTACAATTTCAAGGGATTGGGTCAAGTGGTACTATAATTATCATCCAGAAATCAAAGAAATAACATTTTCAAAGGCAAGCCGCAAATCTTGAACAGTAATTGTGAAAAAAATCAAAATCTAACTTGACCTGTACTTTTATGGTCCATGACATTCTCAAATAAATTTCATTAACGAGTCTATTCATATAATATTACTATAACTTCTATCCCTTAAATATTTAGGCTTAAACAAAACTAACAATATATTCATGTAGCTGATAACCCAGACAGCTCGTCTGGACACCAGATTTTAATGATTTTTAAAACAATATCCATGTATACAAATTATAAGCATATATACATAAAAGATAATCATAAAAATCATAATTGATGAAATGCTTCTATGCTGTATTTTAAGTTAAATACCAAATAATGACAAAATCTCTATCATCAACAATCTCCCTGCCAGGAACAACCATGACAACTGACTAAAACGAGTGAACTTGGTCAAACTTCTGTAAAAACTGAATTTGTAGTCGGAAAATGTTGGAAACCAGAGTCCAAAACCTAATGCTCTGAAGACCGTCTCAGGAAGTATACTTTAGACAGTCTAAAAAAATGTATAATTATTCAGAACAAAACAATTGATAAAAATATAAATTACATCAAACTCAGCTAAAAAATAAAAGAAGAATGTGTCTGAGGACACGATGCCCTTGCTCAAGCTTTGCAATTTTAAAAATTGTAAAAAGGAGCATAACTCTAGAAAAGTAAGTGACTCACTGCCCAAATTTGCAACTTTCCAACTGATAAAGGGGCATTACTCTTAAAAGTTAGTGCGGAAACAAAAAATGGGACAAAAGGAACAACAAAAGGACAGAAGGACATCAAGGGTAACACTAAATGCCTCCTTTCCTTATGGCAGGGGCATAAAAAAACGAAAAATTCGGAAAAGATATATATTTAACAACGGTGAAAGCCAAAATATACATTTCATTTTTTCTTTTATTTTAAGATTCTCCATTCTTAACTTCGAGAAGTCTTTTGACTAGACATGGACCATTATTAATATATCTAAAAGAGTAGGTCTTCAAATAAAAGTGGTCCATTTCAATTAATTTTCAAAGTACCAATTAAATCTAGCCACAGGGGAAAAAAATAATGAATACAATCAGAACTATGAACTAAAAACAAAACTATACATACCAATAAACTGTTAACACAGAGATATGTCTCGCCTATTTGTTATTTTGATAATGCAAATGTTAAAATTAAAATAACAATACTTTTACATGTAAGTTATTTAAATATTCAAAGTCAATGAACCATGACTAAAGGTACAGGCTAAACAATCTCCATGGAAATGAGATGTGCCAATGCTAATACAACTGCCTACCAAATATCATTGACCTACCACTAGTGATTCCCGATAAACTGACCTAATCACAAACTAATCAAAGTCAATAAACCATGACTGAGGAGGCAGGGCCAAATAATCTCCATGGTAATGAGATGTGCCAATGCTAATTCAACTGCATACCTATGTTTCGTTTTTTGACTCTGTCAAGGCGAGACAAAAACCAGTTCAGTATCAATATGCATGACAAAAAAATTGTCAAGAATGGACATGAGTAGAGCTACCTGAATATATCCTTTGGTTTTAATGGTAAAAAGAGAGATTTTGAAATTCAAAATAAGTTATCTATAACTTACAATAGATAACTTATTATCTTGTTGAAAATGGAGAATCTTTACACTATTTTTTTTTTGTAAAAAAGTATCAACATTTTCTCAAACATACAAAAAAATTGTCTGAATTAAATCTTTACTGGTACAGTCACCCAATCATTTTCATACAGCCACAGTTAAAGTAACCTGAAAAAGAAATATTTATTCTTAAACATATCTGTAAAAACTATGTGAAAATAATTGAAACAATATTTAATGCAAAAGAATAATTAACTGGACATTACAATTAAGATGCATATAGCATTTCTGTACCTAGCTTTAATGTGACTCGTGGTCATAACTTTTAGACTACCAGTCTTTGTTGGCAAAAAAAGATGAAAAACAAGTCATTGTTTGTTGTCTATCATATTTTTTGTTTGTTTATTGTTTTATCCTATATCAAGTCATTGGTTTTCTCATATGAATTATTTCACATTTTGCTATGTTGGGGCCTTATATAGCTTACAATACAGAATAGGTTTTTGCTCATTGTTGAAGACCATAAAATGGCATTCTATAGTTGCTAACATCCTTGTCATGTGGTTGATTAATGTGTCATTGGCAATCATACTACATTTCTTAATTTCTATATAGTGGCATTTAATTTAGATAAAACAGAGAGAAGATATCCAAAATTCAAATCTTTAACTTCTCTTATTTGTATCTTGATACCCCCTTCCAAATTATACATACACTTATAACATGAATAAACTGTTATCACAGAGATTATGTCTCAATTTTTTGTAATTTTGATTATGCAAATGTTGAAATTAAAATGACAATATTTAACAAGTTAGACTAATATTCAAAGTCAATGAACCATGTTTGAGGTATACATGGCTAAACCATCTTCATGTAAATGAGATGCACCAATGCTATTACAACTGCATACCAAATATCATTGACTTATTATAAGTTGTTCCCTTTAAACAAACCTAAACACAATCATAAACTTGTAAACTATGTAAAAGTTTCAAAGTCAATGAACCATGAAGAGGGGGTGGAGCTATATAATCTCCATGGAAACGATACTTACAAATGCCAATAAATTTGCATACCAAATATCATTGACTTAACACTTCTTTACAGAACAGTGAAATCTCAGAAAGACCACGACATACTTCAAGAAGACCTCAAAAACCTAGAAGTATGGGCAGATAACTGGGGAATGCGGTTCAATGCCAAAAAATGCTACATCCTAAGCATCAGAACCAAGAGCCATAAATTCTACAGTTTAAATGGACACATACTACAGCAAGTCCAGCATAACCCGTACCTAGGCCTACAAATTTCGGAGGACCTCAAATGGACCACCCACATATCAAACGTGGCAAAGAAAGCAAATTCAACACTAGGCTTTCTAAGAAGAAACTTGAAATACTGCCCCCAAGATTGTAAAAAAACAGCTTACATCTCGCTCGTCAGATCAACGATGGAATATGGAGCCAAAGTATGGGACCCCTACACGGTAACTAACATAAATAAGCTTGAAAGGATACAACGTCAAGCGGCAAGATTTATCACCAGAGATTACAAGTCAAGAGAGGAGTGTCTCCAAAATGCTTTCCCGACTGGAACTACAAGATCTCCAGACAAGACGAACAAGCCAGAAGTTAATATTTATGTACAAAGTGGTTGAGGGACTGGTTCCCGCTATTGAACCAGACAAATTCCTCAAAAAAGCACATCCGAAGAGAACCATAACTGCCAAGAAATTCGAAGAATACCACGCAACAAATATTGTGGAAAAGCAAGTAAAGAATCACTCTAAGTGTTTTGACATTCCACCAAGCAAAACACCACAATATTCAAACTCATTCTTTGTAAAGACAGTGATCGCGTGGAATCAGCTAGACGACACTGTAGTGCGCGCATCAAGTGTAGAGAGCTTCAAATCTGCTCTCACGTCCCGTCAATAAATCGGCGGCGCTCTCTCAAACCGTTGTATTAAAGCCAGTATTGGTATCGACAACGTATTCATACAGATACAGATAGAACATTAGCAGTTCATCTTAAACTGATCTTATCACAAACTAATATATGTAAACTAAGCAAGTTCCAAAGTCAATTTAGGCCATGACTGAGGGGATGGGTCCAAATATTCTCCATTGAAATTAGATGTGCTAATGCTTATACAACTGAATACCAATTAACATTGGCCTACCACTAATGGTTCCTCTTGAACTGACCTAATCACAAACTAATACATGTTAACTAAGCAAATTTTCAAAGTCAATAGACCATGACTGAGGGGGCTGAGCCAAATAATCTCCATGGACATGAGATATGCCAATGCTTATACAACTGCATACCAAATATCATTGACCTACCACTAATGGTTCCTCATAAACTGACCTAATCACAAACTAATACATGTTAACTAAGCAAACGTTTCAAAGTCAATAGACCATGACTGAGGGGGCAGGGCCAAATAATCTCCATGGAAATGAGATGTGCCAATGCTAATACAACTGCATACCAAATATCATTGACCTAAAACTAATAGTTCCCCATAAACTGACCTAATCACAAACTAATACATGTAAAATAATCAAAAGTTTCAAAGTCAATAGACCATGACTGAGGGGGCAGGGACAGGTAATCTCCATGGAAATGAGATGTGTCAATGCTAATACAACTGTATACCAAAAATGATTGACCTACATTTTGTTTTTCACCACAAACTAGATCTAATCACAAACTAATACATTGTTGACGCCGCCGCCGAAACAGCATAATTCTCGTTTTTTGACTCTGTCAAGTGAGACAAAAATCTAGTGACATGCTCTAAGTTATGAACTAATTCTCTTACCAAAAAAGTCAGCTCCAATGGCCATTCCCAACCTCAATCCTTACGGACAAGCTGTGATGTTAACCTGAAATATAAAATGATTCATCATCAAAAATTGTTTAAACTGATCATAGTTGGTATACTTATATATATTTAATAAAAATACTGGTAGTCTATAAATGTGTAATAGATGTTGAGAACATGTGGATTAGACAGCTATCCAGCAACCCAGCAAACTTTTATGTAATTACATCAGATCCTAAAATTTACTTATATAATGGTACTGATAAACGAAAGAGTAGACTTCTGACCAACTCCTAAAAGCCTAAAGAAAATTTTCCAAAGAAATTTTATAATACATTTGTTTTTTTTTTTCTCTTCAAAACTGGAATAACATTCTGGTACTTACCTTCCTTTTAGATGTATTAGACCCCAAAGTTTATTCCCAACACCATGAAAAACATGTCACAGAAAGAACCTAAAAAGGAATTAAGATGGATACATTCTTATATATTTTATAAATCCATTTCTGTCAACATAAACATTTACAAAATATTGTTTTGATTTCTTACTACATGTTCACAGTAGTATAACATCAACACCTAAGTTTGTAAAATTAATATAAAGATGGAAAACAAAAAGGAAGTCAAAGAATAATGATTTGAATTTCAACTGCATTAAAATCTGCATATTTTACAGAGTTATCTCCCATTGAATTAACAAATCTTGGCAGCTCTATTCCAATCTCAGGATTTACTCTTGCTACTTTAATAGAAAATCTTGTTAATATATACTTGGTACATGTATCTTTAACTATTAAACTGGTAAAATAATTCTCGGTTGGGTAGATTTTTTCACAATTTTTAGTTTTCAGTTTTCTAACTTGGAAAATATGTTCTCACCCTCCACATGGCTACTGTGAAAAAAACATTTATAATGTCTAATACAGTTATTTTTTAATTATTTTTGTTTTAATTATCCTGATAAGAATTCAACTGGCCAATGTACATGTAATGGTGTATAATATCATACCATTAGTATTTGCAGGTATTTAAGTTGATTTCTTCTGTGTGTTTAATCCCATTGAAATCAATAGTCAATACCATATTTTATTTCTTTAAGACAAACAATTACACACATAGGACATATAAAGACCATCAGAAATAATAAATACAGTATTGTAACCTATATATCTCTGTAAGAACTCTGTAATGGAAACAAATAATAAAGATTAGTGATGTTTGAAAAATTGTTGTCACTTCTATCAAAGCAGGCTCTCTTAAAAGCTTACAGTAGATTTAGCTTCATCTGTGATAACAATAAAATATATAGAGTATAGAGTATAGAGTTACAGAAATCTATATGCCACTCTTCCTGGTCTGTTAGCCATATTCAAGGTCGACGACGACTGAAACATCCTCTCTAAGCTGAATATGTAAATCTCCAAAATTACAAATTAAACATCTGTGAATGAACTCTGAAATGAAATATAAATATACTAGTCAACAAAAGTAACTTTACACAAGTTTGAACTCCAATTTATCACAAAATATAATAAAATAGGAAAAACTGTTAAATTATCCAAAGCAAATGCATATGATTAAAAGAATCTGACCAAACTGGAAAGTGAGAAACTACCATGTTATATAAAACAGGGGTCAAATTTATTTTGCGGAAAATGATGACAAAGGTCAGCACTTAATTTCGAAAATGAGAATTAAGTATTCATATATCTGCAAAGGCATTCAAAATTTTAAGCAGACCATGTATAAGTTTTAAGTTCTAATATCGATTTTTGAATTTTTTGGGTGAAAATACAATTTTTGAAATAACAAAAATTGCAACAACAAAAAATTCATGTACTTCCCTTAAATCAATGGTTTTGGTAAGAATATAACACTTTGTAAATATTAGACCAATTGGGCAATTGTTAATCTTGGTGCAGTGCATCCAATTTCATTATATATGGAAAATATGTTGCCTTGTATCATTTCTTTTGTTGACTAGTATATATATACAACCATACACATGAAAATATATAAATGAAAAAGATCAACCAACCTTACTTAGAGCTGCTGAACCGTAGCTCTTAGGTCCTTATGATATTTATTGAACATAGATGGTCCTCAAAGAGTCAAGACCTATATCATAAAGACCTAAGAGCTACGGTTCCGCAGCTACCTTACCATCAATTCTTTGAAGAAACCTATATAAAAAATAAATATATATACAACCATATACATGAAAATATATCAAATGAAATAAATCAACTAATCTTGTTATTAGGTGCAGAACCATAGCTCTTAATTAGGTCCTTATGATATATTATAAAGACCTAAGAGCTATGGTTCCGCAGCTACCTTACCATCAATTCTTTGAAGAAACCTATATAAAAAAATAAATATATATACAACCATATACATGAAAATATATAAAATGAAATAAATCAACCAATCTTACTATTAGGTGCGGAACGGTAGCTCTTAATTAGGTCCTTATGATATATATCATAAAGACCTAAGAGCTACGTTTCCGCAGCTATCTTACCATCAATTCTTTGAAGAAACCTATATAAAAAATAAATATATATACAACATTATACATAAAAATATATAAAATGGAATAAATCAACCAATCTTACTATTAGGTGCGGAACGGTAGCTCTAAATTAGGTCCTTATAATATATCATAAAGACCTAAGAGCAACGGTTCCGCAGCTACCTTACCATCAATTCTTTGAAGAAACCTATATAAAAAATAAATATATATACATGAAAATATATAAAATGAAATAAATCAACCAATCTTATTATTAGGTGCGGAACCATAGCTCTTAATTAGGTCCTTATGATATATTATAAAGACCTAAGAGCTATGGTCCCGCAGCTACCTTACCATCAATTCTTTGAAGAAACCTATATAAAAATAAAATATATATACAACCATATACATGAAAATATATAAAATGAAATAAATCAACCTTTCTTACTATTAGGTGCGGAACCGTAGCTCTTAATTAGGTCCTTATGATATATTATAAAGACCTAAGAGCTACGTTTCCGCAGCTACCTTACCATCAATTCTTTGAAGAAACCTATATAAAAAATAAATATATATACAACAATATACATGAAAATATATATAATGAAATAAATCAACCAATCTTACTATTAGGTGCGGAACCGTAGCTCTTAATTAGGTCCTTAAGATATATATCATAAAGACCTAAGAGCTACGTTTTCGCAGCTATCTTACCATCAATTCTTTGAAGAAACCTATATAAAAAATAAATATATATACAACCATATACGAAAATATATAAAATGAAATAAATCAACCAATCTTACTATTAGGTGCGGAACCGTAGCTCTTAATGAGGTCCTTATGATATATATCATAAATACCTAAGAGCTACGATTCCGCAGCTATCTTACCATCAATTCTTTGAAGAAACCTATATAAAAAATAAATATATATACAACATTATACATGAAAATATATAAAATGGAATAAATCAACCAATCTTACTATTAGGTGCCGAATGGTAGCTCTTAATTAGGTCCTTATGATATTTCATAAAGACCAAAGAGCTACGGTTCCGCAGCTACCTTACCATCAATTCTTTGAAGAAACCTATATAAAAAATAAATATATATACAACCATATACATGAAAATATATAAAATGAAATAAATCAACTAATCTTATTATAAGTTGCGGAACCATAGCTCTTAATTAGGTCCTTATGATATATTATAAAGACCTAAGAGCTATGGTTCCGCATCTACCTTACCATCAATTCTTTGAAGAAACCTATATAAAAAATAAATATATATACAACCATATACATGAAAATATATAAAATGAAATAAATCAACCAATCTTATTATTAGGTGCGGAACCATAGCTCTTAATTAGGTCCTTATGATATATTATAAAGACCTAAGAGCTATGGTTCTGCAGCTACCTTACCATCAATTCTTTTAAGAAACCTATATAAAAAATAAATATATATACAACATTATACATGAAAATATATAAAATGAAATAAATCAACCAATCTTACTATTAGGTGCGGAACCGTAGCTCTTAATTAGGTCCTTATGATATATATCATAAAGACCTAAGAGCTACGTTTCCACAGCTATCTTACCATCAATTCTTTGAAGAACCCTATATAAAAAATAAATATATATACAACATTATACATAAAAATATATAAAATGAAATAAATCAACCAATCTTACTATTAGGTGCGGAACCGTAGCTCCAAATTAGGTCCTTATGATATATCATAAAGACCTAAGAGCTACGTTTCCGCAGCTATCTTACCATCAATTCTTTGAAGAAACCTATCTAAAAAATAAATATATATATACAACATTATATATAAAAATATATAAAATGAAATAAATCAACCAATCTTACTATTAGGTGCGGAACCGTAGCTCTAAATTAGGTCCTTATGATATATCATAAAGACCTAAGAGATACGGTTCTGCAGCTACCTTACCATCAATTCTTTGAAGAAACCTATATAAAAAATAAATATATATACAACCATATACATGAAAATATATAAAATGAAATAAATCAACTAATCTTATTATTAGGTGCGGAACCATAGCTCTTAATTAGGTCCTTATGATATATTATAAAGACCTAAGAGCTATGGTTCCGCAGCTACCTTACTACAATTCTTTGAAGAAACCTATATAAAAAATAAATATATATACAACCATATACATGAAAATATATATAATGAAATAAATCAACCAATCTTACTATTAGGTGCGGAACCGTAGCTCTTAATTAGGTCCTTATGATATATATCATAAAGACCTAAGAGCTACGTTTCAGCAGCTATCTTACCATCAATTCTTTGAAGAAACCTATATAAAAAATAAATATATATACAACCATATACATGAAAATATATATAATGAAATAAATCAACCAATCTTACTATTAAGTTTGGAACCGTAGCTCTTAATTAGGTCCTTATGATGTATTATAAAGACTTAAGAGGTATGGTTCCGCAGCCACCTTACCATCAATTCTTTGAAGAAACCTATATAAAAAATAAATATATATACAACAATATACATGGAAATATATATAATGAAATAAATCAACAAATCTTACTATTAGGTGCGGAACTGTAGCTCTTAATTAGGTCCTTATGATATATATCATAAAGACCTAAGAGCTACGTTTCCGCAGTTTTTTACCATCAATTCTTTGAAGAAACCTATATAAAAAATAAATATATATACAACATTATACATAAAAATATATAAAATGAAATAAATCAACCAATCTTACTATTAGGTGCGGAACGGTAGCTCTTAATTAGGTCCTTATGATATATCATAAAGATCTAAGAGCTAGGGTTCCGCAGCTACCTTACCATCAATTCTTTGAAGAAACCTATATAAAAAATAAATATATATACATGAAAATATATAAAATCAAATAAATCAACCAATCTTATTATTAGGTGCGGAACCATAGCTCTTAATTAGGTCCATATGATATATTATAAACACCTAAGAGCTATGGTTCCGCAGCTATCTTATCATCAAATCTTTGAAGAAACCTATATAAAAAATAAATATATATACAACATTATACATGAAAATATATAAAATGAAATAAATCAACCAATCTTACTATTAGGTGCGGAACCGTAGCTCTAAATAAGGTCTTTATGATATATCATAAAGACCTAAGAGCTACGGTTCCGCAGCTACCTTACCATCAATTCTTTGAAGAAACCTATATAAAAAATAAATATATATACAACCATATACATGAAAATATATATAATGAAATAAATCAACCAATCTTACTATTAGGTGCGGAACCGTAGCTCTTGATTAGGTCCTTATGATATATATCATAAAGACCTAAGAGCTACGGTTCCGCAGCTATCTTACCATCAATTCTTTGAAGAAACCTATATAAAAAATAAATATATATACAACATTATACATGAAAATATATAAAATGAAATAAATCAACCTATCTTACTATTAGGTGCGGATACGTAGCTCTTAATTAGGTCCTTATGATATATCATAAAGACCTAAGAGCTACGGTTCCGCAGCTATCTTACCATCAATTCTTTGAAGAAACCTATATAAAAAATAAATATATATACAACCATATACATGAAAATATATCAAATGAAATAAATCAACCAATCTTACTATTAGGTGCGGAACCGTAGCTCTAAATTAGGTCCTTATGATATATCATAAAGACCTAAGAGCTACATTTCCACAGCTATCTTACCATCAATTCTTTGAAGAAACCTATATAAAAAATAAATATATATACAACATTATACATGAAAATATATAAAATGAAATAAATCAACCTATCTTACTATTAGGTGCGGAACCTTAGCACTTTATTAGGTCCTTATGATATATCATAAAGACCCAAGAGCTACGTTTCCGCAGCTATCT